GATGCATTTTCTGTGATATACGAGGGTGGATTGATAAGTTTCCGGCCTGACCAAGAAAAACAAGGTTTTTAAAAATTTTTTTTTTTTATTTCTCAACATAATCTCCTCCAAGGCTGATACATTTCTCATAGCGGTGTTCCAGTCTATTAATGCCATCTCTATAGACTGATTCGTCAAGCTCCTCAAAATAACCATTTACAGCTTCGATTACTTCTTCATTGTCCGCAAATCTCTTACCGCCAAGCCATTTTTTGAGATTAGGGAACAGAAAATAGTCACTCGGGGCTAGGTCTGGAGAGTAAGGAGGGTGCGGCATCAATTCAAACTTTAGATCGTTGATTTTAGCCGTCGCAACGATTGACGTGTGCGCTGGTGCGTTATCGTGATGAAACAAGATTTTTTTCTTCGCCAGATGAGGTCGTTTAATTTTCACCTCGTGGCTCAAACGTTGCAATAAGTCTGCGTAGTATTGACCAGTGATAGTATTACCCTTTGCAAGGTAATCAATGTATATAATACCTCTTGCATCCCAAAAAACAGTAGCCATAACCTTGTTCGCCGAAAAAATTGTTTTTGCCTTCTTTGGAGTTGGTTCCCCTGGTCCAATCCACTGTTTAGACTGTTCTTTGGTTTCAGGAGTGTAGTGGTGGACCCACGTTTCGTCAACGGTTACGAATCGACGCAAAAATTCGCTTGGATTACGCTTATACAATGACAAATTTGCGGTAGAAATGTTTTTTCGAATCAATTTTTGGTCGACTGTTAGCAAACGCGGCACCCATCTTGCACAGAGCTTTTCCATATGCAAATGTTGGTGCAAAATATGTTGCACACGTTCATATGACATCTTACAGGTCTCAGCTATCTCACGCACTTTCAATCTGCGGTCTCCCAGCACTATTTGATGAATTTTTTCGATCATATCTGGAGTTGTGACCTCAACGGGGCGTCCTGAGCGAGGCCCATCAGAGGTGCTCACACGACCCTTTTTAAACTCGGAAACCCACTGCTTAACGGTTGAATATGACGGGGAGGATGTCCCCAGTGTTGAGTCCATCTCTTTTTTAATTTCCTTCGGCGTTAACCCCTTCAAATAAAAGTATTTGATGACAGCACGATTTTCCTGCTTTTCCATTTTTACGAAAACCACAGAGGCGTCTTGTTCAGCGTGCTGTCAAACCTACACTAGCAAGGAGATCGGGCTGAAACTATAGCTACAAGCTATCCAAGGATGGTACTATAGAATGTCACCTCAAGGTAGGCCTAGTGGCGTCATCTCTTGGTTAGGCCGGAAACTTATCAATCCACCCTCGTATAGTTAGCCGCAACAATCTGTGTCAGATGATTTTGAATACAAAAATAAAATAAACACAAAATTCCTGTAAAGATTTTATTTCAAAAATGTTAAAAGATCATGCTCTTTTATGTATGTAGGTCTAAAGCTAAAGCTACATCAGTAAATAATGCTGGGGTCGTTAAAGTAGGTTGAAATAGGGTCATATGGTTTATCGAAATCTTCCAAAACATTGTACTTCTTTTTGGAATCTTTCCAGGTATTTCCCTTACGATTAATAAAAGTATAGGCAATAAATTATATTTATCTTGGAAATTTAATTAAATTCTCTGTGTCCGCTTCCTCAATTTTCAATAAAGGAAATTTTATCCAGTCTAGAGAATTTGTAGGTACAAATTATCATAAAGGTAACTGGTAGGTAGGTAGGTATACGTTTCAATTATCGAAAGTTTTTTAAACTATCCTCGGAAATATTTCCAAACTTTAAACAGGTTTTAACTTTTCAGTAAAGGGCAATTTATTAAATTCGTAAATTAAAATGTTTGCTAGTTTAAATGTACTTTTAACATAAGGTAGGAGTCAAAAAGTTCTAGAAAACGCGCGAATAAAAACTAATCAAAAATATAGTAAATATAGTGGATTTTTCACTTCATTTAGAATCCGTATAATGTAGTCAAGTAGTTCGTTTCAGCTGAACGTTTCTTTCATAAAGAGTTATTTCTGTAAAGTTTTCTTTTGGGTAATTACCACGGACCTTTGAAACTTAGGTATGCCTTGTTACTGATTATATTTAATCGTTATCTTTTTTTAATAATGGTATAGCAGTATTAGCATCTAGCAAGAAGGAGTTGGATATAGCTTTAAATAAAATGGAAGCGGTATTGATAAAACAGTATTGTATAAAATAAATAAAATAAAACAAAAATACTGGTGTGGAAGGGAAGAAAAAGTAGGGAAAGGGCGAATATAAAAGATAGGAGACGAAAAATTAGAAAAAGTAACTGATTTAGCTATTTGGAAGTCAGATAAGTCAGGACAAGGAGTAGTAGTAAAGTTGAAGATAGCGCAGGGTCGAGTCGCTTTTAATAAAAATAAGTCACTTCTATGCTCCCGAACAATTAATTTAGAAATTCGAAAAACATTGTTTAAGGTGTATGCTTGGAGCACGGAGCCGTACTGGTGCAAAACATGGACATTGGGCGTGGCAGAAAAGAAACGTTTAGAAGCTTTCGAAATGTGGTGTTACAAGCGAATGATGAGGATAACGTGGGTAGAAAAGGTTAGAAATGAAGAGGTATTAGAAAGAATAGAAGAACAGAGGACTCAATGGAAGTCAATAAGGAATAGGCGAGCTAGATTGGTAGAACACCTTCTCAGGCATGAAGGTCTAGTCAAAGACCTAGATTAGATTACTCTTCGCTAAGAGTTAAGGATGTGGGATGTTCTAATTTTAGGGAAATGTGAAGATTAGCTCAGGATAGGATGGAGTGGAGGTGCGTGTCCAACCAGTCTTAGCACCGATGGCCTTATAATGATGATGATCTGTTGGTTAAATATGAATAACTACAAATATTATTACTTTACTGTGATCATCACTTGTACCCTCCAATTGTCTTTAGAAAATACGGAAGGTCAGTTAACCTAAGTTTATCTTACTCCGGCCTTTTGTTAATGAATGCAAAAATTATTTAAATAACAATAGGCAACGTTTATTTAACAGAAAATATACCTAATATATACCTAATATATAAATTATTCAACTAATATACAGTTATCTTTATATATATTAAAAACATTTAACAACAAAATGTTAACTTAACTATACTCACATTCTTATAATTTTTGACCAAAATAATATACAAACAACAAACATTCTTTAGCTTATAAACTTAACTAAAAAAAAACCTAATACATTTCCCTTCTATTTTTGTTTTTTTAGAAATATCCACTCCCTCACCCTTTACACCTATCATCTCACTGCACATTTTCAATGTTTCATTCTCGATACTTTCTTCCAATCCATACCTTAAGTTTTCTATTTCAATTTCTACAAATCCCGCATTTTCTCTCTTCTTCTAATCAGTATTTATTTCCATTACATTAATTCCCCTTTCTAAATCTTGCTATTATTCCTTTATCCTTATTCTTAATTAAATATTCAGGTATGCTGATCCATTTCCTCATCCCTTCGGCATATTTGGAACATTGAATTTTTCTTGGATCCTCTCCGTTTTCCATTTTCCTACATCTATTCTTTATCATATTACTTACACATTCAATCCCTCGTTTTTCCATTCAATTGGTTGTTCCTTGCTGATTCCCATTTCCTCTAATGCCTTATCCATTTCCTAATCATATCTGTTTCTCATATCTATTCTTAGATCTTTTTTTCTCCATATCCCTTTCCTTATATCGTCTCGTCTTTTAATTTTTCCAGCTTTTCCTCATATTTAATCACTCTTCATTTCGCTTCTTCTAGTATTTCTCCACTATCCTTTCTCTCCTAATTATTAAGTCTGGTGTGCTTCTTTCTAATGATAAAACCCATTTCTGTTCATATTTATTCCACCCTCATATTTCAACCCTATAAAACATAATGCTTCTTATAACTGAATTAGATTACAACATCCTTCATCCCAATTATTCTTACATAACTCTTGTCCTATCCCCAATATTGCCATTGACTTTGTACATTGATTCTCTACTATTTATCTCATCCTTATTATTTTCCCCCAACATGTACCGTAAATACTACGAACCTTTGAAGCTTAAGTATGTTTTGTTACTGATTATATTTAATCATTATCTTTTATGATATGATTCTTCTATTAAACTATTAAAAAATTTTCCGAGATACTGCTAGTCAAATTTGACTAACTGCAGATGATATTACTATTTGTACTCTCCTAGTGTCGTTGGATAATACGCGAAGACAGTTAATCCAACTTTACCCTGCTCCGGCCTTTTGTTAATGGATGCAAAAATTATCTAAATAACATTACGCTATGTTTNACCCAACTCTTTTCATGTTTTTTTTTTATCATAATCAGTTCAATTGGACACACATTTGCTCTTCTTCCTATTTTGAACCAATTTTCGCATTTCTCGGGATATAAAGTAGAAGATAGTGCAGCGTCGAGTCGCCTTCAATAAAAAGAAGTCACTTCTATGTTCGAACGGTTAATTTAGAAATTCGAAAAAGGTTGTTTTACTGATTATATTTAATCATTATCTTTTATGATATGATTCTTCTATTAAACTATTAAAAAATTTTCCGAGATACTGCTAGTCAAATTTGACTAACTGCAGATGATATTACTATTTGTACTCTCCTAGTGTCGTTGGATAATACGCGAAGACAGTTAATCCAACTTTACCCTGCTCCGGCCTTTTGTTAATGGATGCAAAAATTATCTAAATAACATTACGCTATGTTTACTTAACAAAAAATGAAATACCTGAACATTATATTCGATAGATAATTAACTACATTATTTTTCTTTTTATTAGGTTTAAATCACAATACGTTCGTAACCATGTATCTTTGTACGTACCTTGTAATACCTAATGCATGTAATAAAATTTTTTATTCAGCAGGTACTTCGTAATCAGTAATAGCAGATCGTTGAAAGTAACATTGACGGAGATTACTTTTCTCTGCGTTATAAAAGCCGAACGTAGCGACTATCACTTGAACATTCACCGACAATCATTCAACAAACTGAAACGTAAACGGAGAAATGAATTATTCTACGGTAATAGTAATTAAAATTCAATACCAACTTTAATTGCGTCTTCAAATAATGACATCTATCATTTTTGTTACAGCTTTTCTTCTTAGTGATTGTGGGCGGTCCAATGGCTTGGTGTACACATCATGAACATCACGAGGAGGTATGTTATTCCGTTAACTAATTTATTTATTATAATTTTACGTACTTTATCACTTACGGATATTGTATAAATATCAATTTATTTTGTTTTTTTTAACTAAAAATATCAGTGCTTTTATTAAAATGTAATGGACCATAAGGAAATATTTATAAATATATTTTACCGCTCCTTATAAAAGATATTCGGGTTCAAAATTAGAGGTGTTTTAAAATACCATGGGCCGTGAAATACTGTACACTTTAAAAACCAATGACTGGATTGTTGATAATATGTAAACAATGACGATTCGACGTCGAATTTTTTTAGTAAGAATAGTGGTAGCAACCCTAAGTCATGACACACGATATTTTGAACTATCTCTAGTAATTAAGCTAAGAGGAAATTTAAAAAAAATATCATAACACTGAAAAAACGTGGACAGTCTGGCTTTGATAATACTAAGTGTGCCAAAAACATTTTTCCAAGTGTTGTAGTATTTGGTTAAATTATTTACCTCGCTACATTATCCTTTATCCTTTATAAAATTAACTACGTTCCTTATCACTTACGGATATTATATAAATATCAATTTGGTTTTTTTAAAGTACAAATATCACTGCTTTCATTAAATTGTAATGGACCTTATAAAAATATATACATAATTATATTTTACCGCTTATTTTAAAGGATATTCGGGTTCAAAGTTAGAGGTGTTTTAAAATATCATGGGCCGCGAAATACTGTACACTTTAAAAACCAATGACTCGATTGTTAACCATGATAATCTGTAAACAATGACGACTCGACGTCGAATGTTTTTAATAAGAATAGTAGAAATCTACGAACGGGCGGAGTTTGACAATGTGCACAACCCAAGGTCATGACCCACGAGATTTTAAACTACCTCTAGTAATTAAACTAAGAGGACATTTAAAAAAAGATATCATAACACTGAAAAAACGTGGACACAGTCTTGTTTTGATAACACTAAATGTGCGAAAAACATTTTTCGAAGTGTTGTGGTATTTGATTAAATTATTTAAATCGCTACACAATCCTTTTAAATTTTTATTACCTTTAGCAATACTCATACATATGTCATTGTCACTTCATATTCTGATTATTCTTAATGAAAAACGTGATTCTTAATCATCCTGAATATTTGGAGATATCTTAGTGAATTAATAAGAAATGTAGACTTAAATTTTCTATCATATTACTTTGAAACGTTCTGTCATGTCTTGAAGTTATACAGCTTCCATACGAATGCATGGTAATTTATATACTTAATATCTGTCGAACTATTCTATCAGTGGCCCAAAAAATGGTAAGGATTTTCTGAAATACCTGTACCTAGATGTCTTCTTATGTTCATCGAATCATCTCTTTTATTTTTCTATGGTATTAGGTATATTCAACTCTTATAATTCATTAATGAAAGGCATGTGAATGTTTACCGTGATGTGAATTTTAAAACGGCCCATCATTAATCAACAGAAAAAGCTGAAACTGCTTCTTAGATTAGTAAAAAAATACAAGGACAGTAAAAGAATCGATCCTACATATCTACAATCAAATCAATAACTACATTAACTTCTGTAAAGTGTCGACTTACCTGTAGCAATATACAGGTCGGACGAAAGAAGCAGGCGAGCGGTCGCGCAAGTACTTGCCAATTTATGACCTATTTGGGTAAGTCACTTGGAACCGATAGACAAATATGCTTTCAGTAGGCGTAAATTATAGTATTAATACCTATAGGACAGTAGAGTACTAGAAAATAATGTAGAAACATAATTTACCAAAAAGAAAAAATAAACCTGTTGCCTTTGTTTTATAGTTAGTTTTCACATTCACTGTCATTATGGCAATCTCTATCACTGTCACCAACATTAACAATTAGTTCTTCTGTTTGTATGTCTATTACTTGCTCACTGATTCCTATTTTTAAATATTTAATCTACGCCCCTGATAAGAATATTGAAGAAAGAGGGCTGCAATCGTTATACTTAAAACTGCCATTTTTAAATTTCCGCCAGCTTCCAGCGTCAGGCCTGTATTTTAGAACGATTTGGGGCTTGACACTCTTGATGATTAGAGGCGGGAAGTTGTACTAGTGGTCTAGTATTTTTGTATAAATTGATTTTTACAAATCCATGTTAATTTGAATAGGGTGCTATTGAAAGTCACATTAAGAAGAATAATTTTGAGTTGGTGTGAGTTGATGCCAAAGTGGTTGGGAAAGTAGGGCATTTAGTTAGGTCATTTATTTAGATTCGGCTTTTAATTAGGCATTTAAATGGTTAACGTATTATCAGCTGTTTCAGCTGCACAGATTTCAGCTGAAAGACAGAAACCCGTTTTTCTTACTGTTTTCATTCATTAGGATCTTTTAAACCTCTTAATGAAATCGTTTTAGATTTCATGTAACTTTTGCAGCTTCTTTTACAATTTTTAATCGAAAAGTGCAATTTTAGTTCATTTTTTTCCACGGCTTAGTAGGAGATGGACGAAGAAACCTTCAGTGGAGCATTATTTTGTATTTTCCCTGTTCAAGTATTTAAAGGAAAGTAAGAAATCCGACGTTCTTTTGAAAAAATAAGGGCATTTTCCTGTATTAGAGTGCTTTAATTTCGAAATTTTAAGTAAATAGCTTAGTCAACGAGAGCCTTTTTTCATCGAAAATGAACATTTCCGTAAAGACGCAGCTTTATTTTTGAAGAGCCATAAAATTTTCAAGAATTGTTTCTAACAACAACATATTCAAGTGCTCCTAATTTTAGAAAGATTGGTTATTAACTTTACGAATAGTAACTGATCGATTTTTTTGGCTTAATGGTAAAATGCTAGAATCTATTTTGTAAATATTTTCTCCTACTGAAACCAAGGCAGAATATTAAAAAAACTTTCAAATTAAATATTCTGTGAATGTTTTGAAAAAAAAAATTATTTGGGCCGATTTTATAACGATCTTTTGAAAACACCTACGTTTACCTGAAGCCATATATTTTTTTAATTTTTAATTGTAAGTTGTCCGCCCTTTCATAACTTAAAATTGTATTAAAAATCGGTTGTCTGTAAAGTCGGTTTACTAACGATAGTTGAACGTGACAACGTCATAAGAAAATACTGATGGAATGGTTTCATTTTTCAAAAGAAAATTTTAATTTTATTTGTTTGATAGATATTTTGTATGGATATAGAGAAGGAGGTAAATGGAAATCACAATTGAATTGATCAAGTTACATTTATTTGTACGCATAAATACAATTATGTCAATTTTTATTTATTTTTTTTTCCAATGTACATAGTTTTTACAAGTATGAATGTGCTTTGAGCAATCGTTTTACAACTTTTATTTACAACTTTTTAACATCATTAAAATATTTGTAACTCTAGCTTCAATTCGACAATATATCACTGAACATATATTTAATATCGAAAGAATCATTACTTTTATCACCGCAATCATCATTGCTATAAACATTCACTTTTTACTGCACTTCATACTTGACGAAAACATGTAAATGTATTATTGTATAGCAGCTATCCACGCGGACGCATCGCTCACTCAAGTAGGAGAGAGACAGATGTCGAACGCTGCCGAACGCGGAAGCCGATTGTGCCTCATTGTCGCTCGTTCCGCGCTCTCGCTTGCACTTCAAGCCTTAAATGGAACGCCTCAGAGCGAGGTAACGCCGCATGAGTCATGTTTTTTCGTGTGTCCATCGAATTATAAGACGTTGTCACGTCAAAAACCAAAGACTAAAAACAAATTAATGTTCTAGGACCTTCTGAAGCTGAGATATTTTTTTTAACTTAGGATTAACTTATGATTAAAAATTAAACTGTTTTGTACGTCAAAAATTCCCACGGGGATAAAATTCGATCACTTATTAAAGTTAATAACCGATTATTCTGAAATTTGGAGCTCTCTTACATATTGTTATTAGAAACATTTCCAGAAAATTTCAAGTTTTTGTTTCCGACACATTTAATGCAAAAGATTTTTTTGTTATTTTTTACACAATTTATTAATAAACAGAAGCACTTGGTGATTTTCAATTAGCGCAATTGTTTAGACAATTATATGGGGAAGATTAAACATGGAAGATACATATGACGAAAAATGCACTGGAGAGGAGATATTTCACAAAATGTAAAAAAAAATCGGCTTGTTGCCCCAACATCTCAGACTGTGGATAAAGAAATTCATAATGCGCGTTTTTTTTTACTGTTGTACCAAAAAATTAAAAATTACGACGTAAAGAAAAAATGAGGTTATCTAGCTTCCTTGAATGGGCTATAAAAAATAAATATTACATTCAAAATATTTCTTCCAGAAAACACATTCAATAGAATAAATAGGAAATGTTACTATTTCCTGTTAATGGATACAATTTTGTCTATTCGTAGGGACCCGCCCATTATCACTTCAGCTACGGTGTTAATGATCCTCATACAAAAGACCATAAATCTCAACACGAAGAAAGCGATGGGCACGTGGTAAAAGGATCTTATTCATTACATGAACCTGATGGTACCGAGCGCATTGTGGAATATGTAGCAGGTCCACACACTGGTTTCCAAGCAGTTGTGAAACGTATCGGACATGCCCATCATCCCGAACACTACGGACACCACGGAGGGCACCATGAAGGATATGACGGTGCTGAAAGTCACGTGGGTATCACGCATTGGGGACATCATTAGGTAATTTATTTGTTAAAGGCTGTGTTAAATTAAATGGTTATTGTGAGTGCAATTTTTTTGTAATAAAAATAAAGTTGTTATTTCTATACGTATGTACTATTTATTAATTCTTGATAGGTATTATTTTCTTCTACGTGTTTTAAATCTATTGCAGTGCGTTGTTTGATGAAAAAACCATTCATTTTCCATTATTTGATTTTGATACATGAAAACTAGGTATACCATGAACTTTTCAAGGATCACATCCAAAAACACATGAAGTATCAATTCATGCATGGTTTATTGACACAAAAAACATTTTTGCGAAGAAAAAAATTTATTTATTATTTGTGACCCTTTTACTTCAACTTGGTGTTAAAAAATAAAAAAATTATGATGATACGAGCAGCTTTTATCAACTGAGAACATTTGCAAGTGGAAAACAAGAACAAGGAATATTTCTAATAATTTCTGCCACATTATATGCAGAATTATACTAATCTGAACTGAATCAAATCTGTACTTTAATGCGTAATAATTCATCATGAGGTAGTCAGTTGTAAGACAGGTTCGACACGCACTTAAACTTCTTCCCATCCTTAGCTCATCTTCGCATTTTCCTAAAATTAGAACATCCAACATTCTTAACTATTTGCGAACAGTAATCCAATCTAGGTCTACCTCTACTCCTCTTAACTCCTGTGTCTGCGTCTAATATGTCTATGACCAGACCTTCATACCTGAGAAGGTGTCCTATCAACCTATCTCGAACATATATCTTCAACAACCTTTACCAAATTTCTAAATTCATCGTTTTTATTAAAGGCGATTCGACCCTGCGCTATTCCCTGCTTTATATTCGTACTACCCTTTCCGTCCTGAGTTATCTCTCTAAGAAGTATTTATCGCTCGCATCAATTACATGCGCACAATGAATTCGAGTGAACAGCAAAAATTTGAATGTATTATATCTCAACCAAAACGGATCCTATTCACATGGATTACAAAAAATTAAGTCAATCACAAAAATTGTACTTATTATGATTAGTTTTAACCTAACCTAACCTAATTGTTACACTGTAAAATTAAAATTAGAATGCTGTCTTAAAATTCGGACGTGCTGGAGAAATTTTAATAGCAGGTCTTAACCCAGCGAACCGAATTCCTAAAGTTTAATGTTTACTTTGTTTTTGCTGTGTTAAACACCTTCTTTATGGGGTTTCCAAGGATTCCGCAGGCCTTAGTAGAAAAGATAGAGAAGAGCTGTTCAATATTGTTCAATAAAGAAGAAAGGCCCCGCAGATGTTTCATTAGATAGAAACAGCAGCGCCTCTATGATAGAGAAAATACACTTTGCAACGAACCGGCGACTCATAATGCTCCGTAATTCAGTTATTTCTTGTAAAAGTGAAATGAAATTCAGAAAAGCGCGATTACATGTACAGTCGAACCTGGATAAGTGATAACTGGGTAAGCGAGAAAACTCTATTAATAAGAGAATTTGCCAGGTCCCGTCATTTTGCCCTTCTAAAGCCTCTATAAGTGAGAAACATAAAATCTATATAAGTGACAGTCATTTTTTATGCGTGAGATTGCTACTTGCCTACACCTCTATAAGCGACAGTTTACTTTTGCTATTTTATGACTCGTTCTTAAATTTCAAGAGACTCTTATTTCATTCGAATGAGCAAATGTGCGTCTGTTGTTGTTTTCTATAGTTCTAGGAACTTAGGTTATTATAGCCAAATGTGTGTATCGACTTGTTTATCAATCTTATTACAGTCAGTTCATAAAAGCAGTTGCGAAGAAAGGTCCTGTACTTCCTCATAATGTCTAAACGAAAACTCAATGTGTTGTCGAACCGGATTTTTATAGACCTCTATAAGTGAGACAGAAACCCTCCTGTAACTCTGTAAGCTAGAAACTCGGGTTAGTGAGAAACCTCTATAAGAGAGAATCAGATCGCGGTCCCTTAAGCTCTCACTTATCCAGGTCCGACTGTATATATATAAGGGGTGGTCCAAAACAATTTTTTCATCAGACTTCGAAGATTCAAGTTCCATCACTTGATATCTCATAATAATGTATGCAAGAAAGGATTACAGAAACTTTCATTTAAATAGGAGATTTCAAATAAAAAATATTTTAATTTTATCTTCTTTATGCCTTACTAAATTTTTGGTATACACTGCTTACTTGTACACAAGTACATACACATATATCAAAGACTAGCGTGTCTCATCAGTTTACAATACAAACAGGAAAAATTGGCACAGCGATGGACCATCTAATGAAACGGACTTTAATACATGAAGCCACCCAATCAATGGTGATATCCCCAATGGGTTGTTCCAACGTAACTTTCAGCACTCCCGTGTCCGTTATCATGATGACCGTTCTCATAATGACCGTTATCATAATCTTCATGATGACCTCCATTACTGTAGTGATAGGGATGTTGGGCGTGGCCAACTCTTCTCACATGGGCTTGGAACCCACCATGTGGTCCTGCTTCGTATTCTACAATACGTTTGGTACCATCAGGTTCATCCAAAGAATAGGCCCCTTTGACATTGTGACCATCGCGTTCTTCATGCTGGGACTTCTTATCTCCAGTGTGGGGGTCATGAACTCCGTAGTTAAAGTGATATTGAGCAGGACCCTGCTAAAACAGATACGTTAAAATGTTTTCAAATGATATTTTAGAAGATAGTCACAATTACATTTTCGTACTCGTCATGCTGATAATGTTCATCGTTATTATGGTAGTAACTACCGGTCGCAATAGTTACAATGCAGAGGAGCAGAAAAGCCTACGAAAATAAAAAAGGATATAACCAGACATTAATACAATACTTGGATTTGATAACAGATAAGTCAGTTTTGCTACCATGGTTGCCAGCTGCAAAACGTGTCAAAGCAGCGCTATTCAATAATAATAATCAGTTCCAATAAGATTAGACATAGCAGTAACAACTACACATGATTTTCATAATGTACGACGTGAGCCGGAATTATAATGTCTATAGGTTGTATTTGTTAATAAGCTGCGAGGACGTATGGGCACGACCTAGAGGGTTTATGACATTGCTTATTAGAATTTGGGGGACACCGGCTCGATTCCGAGTCCCGTCTGCCCTAATCGAAGTTTTTCTGTGGTTTCCTTGGATCACTTAGGCAAATGCTGGGGTAGTAGTAGTCCACAGATGTTCTTCCATTCTCTTATGTCTTCACTTCGCCCGGCTCATCTTTCTTAGCCACCCACCCATTTTGACGATTCCTAAAAGAAGGCAGAAAAGGGCCTTCCGTCTCTCCTCCGATTGAAATGAAACACACAAGAGTTTTAAGCAAGGTAAAGCTGTGCGTATTCCATTTGCTGCGTTGATTAAGACATATTGGTTATGTTTTATATTCGACAACTAAAAATACCGAAAATCATGCGCAGTCGATCATCGCACAGCATACGAACGCCTTTTCTATCTTCTTTTCTGGACTTTTCATTTCGAGTTACAAATGTTTTTGCGCCTAAGCCTAATCTTGTTGGTCAGGGAGGCGCTTTATAATAAAATAAAAAGTTACTCATATTTAATTTTGAGTCTATAGTTTGTCGCTACATTTGACTTTATTTAAGACAATCTTATTAAATAATTATTTATTTTTTTTATTGAAACGCTAACTTCTGTACTTGCCACTTGACGTTGTAAAAGTTTCGATTGTCTTCATCGTTATAGGGTCGTCAGTCCTAAGACTGGTTGGACACGTACCTCCACTCTTTCCTATCCTGAGCTAAACTTCTTTCTGCCTCTAATATGTCTCTGACTAGACCTTCATGCCTGAGAAGGTGTCCTACCAACCTATCTCGCCTATTTTTTATTGACTTCCATAGAGTCCTCTGCTCTCCTATTCTTTCTAATACCTCTTCATTTCTAACCTTTTCTACCCACGATATCCTCATCATCCGCCTATAACACCACATTTCGAACGCTTCTAACCTTTTCTTTTCCGCCGCTCCCACTGTCCATGTTTCGCACCCGTACAACGCCGTGCTCCAAACATACACCTTTAACAACCTTTTTCGAATTTCTAAATTAACCGTTCGCGAGCATAGAAGTGACTTCTTTTTATTAAAGGCGACACGACCCTGCGCTATCCTCTGCTTTATATCCCTACTACTCCTTCCATCCTCACTTATCTGACTTCCTAGGTATCTAAAATCAGCCACTTCTTCTAATTTTTCGTCTCCTATCTTTATATTCGCTCTTTCCCTACTTTTTCTTCCCTTGCATACCAGTATTTTAGTTTTACTTTTATTTATTTTCATACAGTACTGATCTGTCAGTACCGCTTCCATTTTATTTCGATTGACTAAGGATTAGTATTAGTTAAATAAGGGATATTGTATTACAAAAAATGTTAGGTTAGAAGTGCGTATGATACTCACCAGTACAGAATTCATTTTCCAGATGCAAAACTGAACGAACTGATTTACCAAAGATAGGAATATGGGTAATGATAAGTAGTTGCTGGTTGTTGGACTTTATATATGATATGAAATGTAGATAATTTAATTGTAACATATAATCACATGAAATGAGAATTACAAAATTCAAGATAAAAACTACGTCTGTCGACAATGGCATGCTTATTGGATAGTAAAATTAAAGTACAATACGCAATTTTACTTCTTCTATTGCGATAGTAAGTAACGGTTACGTAAAAACTATTGGGAATGCGATTGTAAAATTGTCACGTGCGCTTAAGTACTTAAATCTCCATCCAGTATTCTAATAATATATTATGAGTATACAATAGGATTCGTGGTCATACATATATGTACGTGGGTACCTGTATAAATCAATTAAAAATTTACAAATGAAAGTGCTCTTTTAAAACTGAGTCTTACTTTCTTTTCATTGAATTGATAATATAATAGACGCATGTATAATGTGATCATTGTTAGCAGGAGAGCAACTAAATAAAAAGTTGGTACGCAATAAGCAGCAGCGGGTTATATTGTTAACCATTAAGTAACTACTCCTTATGAGCATAAGAGTTCAGTCGGTCAATTCGTTGGCTAGATCCTCCTGTAAAAACAAACCGAAAATGTTTTAAGAGTTTCTTATTAAATTTATAACAATTAAAGTAATTTTTGTTGCACTTCGGCGTCGCTTTTGTAAAAGTCGACCGAACCCAATTCCTGAATCTTTCTCCACACAGTCTAGCTGAAACGCAAATTGCGTGCCGCATTGACTACAGCTGCTTTGTAATTATTTTCTTTTATACCATTGAACAGTTCTTTTATTAAATAATACTACTTCTTCCCCCTGCCCACGGCCTTTTTTATTGTTCTACTATGACGTAGTGTCGGTCATCGTTGTTTTCTAATCGTTGCAGTTGTCGGCCATCATTCTTTTTCAATTGTTTTCGCATTGTCACTGATGTCGGCCATTACGGTTTTCTAATAGATGTATAGGGTGTGTTCCGAAATATAACCCAGCATACTGGTCAGTGCTGATGACGTCATGAATCGGCGCCATATTGTACTGGTGTGCCACCATATTGTACTGGTGAAACAAGTGTGTCGTAACAGTATATCAAACGGGCGTGCTTCAGAGTTTGGACAATTTTTTATTGTAATAAACGTTAATAACTTTTGGAACAAAATTGTTGTAAATGAGCACAAACACTATTCTCAATACGGCGTCAATTAGACGTCAACGCACTGGCCAGTATATTTCGGAACGAATCAACAGTATGGCGTCGATTCACGCCGTCATCAGCACTGGCCAGTATACCGGGTTATATTTCGGAACACACCCATAGTAATCAATGATTAAAATTTAAAGAAATTGTTTGTAAATAGGTATGCAACACATCGTACACTTCATCGTAAGAAATTGCTGATACTAACTACGTAATACTACTTTGCCCTCTGCTGACTCACAATTTCTTTTATAAATAATATTAATAATCAAATTAGTATTGTATATATATAATGTATGCCTTTATTTCCCTACAATGAGTCTATGATAATTCCTAATATATCTTTTTCTTTTTCAATAATTACTTGACCAAACCCGAACGAACAAGATCGAATCTTCAAGACCAAGACCAAATACGCAAGACCTAAAGAAAATTTATTAAATTATAATCTTTTCTTGGAACAAAACATTTTTTTGTATTTGAAATTTTCAGTTTGCTCTACTAGATTTCCTTAATACTACAATAATATCGAAATCTGTGTTTGAAAGAATTCTTAAAAAAAAATGCAAGTAACAGACTACATGAGCAACATCAATACCAAGACCAGGACTAGAAGTGTTTGAGCAAGACCAAAATCAAGACCAAATAAACAACACTAAGACTAAGAGCAATACTAAGACTCGGACAGTCTTGTTCTTGGTCTTGTTTTTGCTTAGCTCATCACTAGTATTTTTCACAATTCGTAAATAGTGTTAATTGAGTACGACGGCAATAATGAAAAAAATTGGGTCTACACCAAGTATTAAATTCTACAATACCTTAATTAGGTATACCTGACTTACATTCAAAATATTTTGCAGAACGAAGTGTAAGTGCTTTTGGTTCCCCACATATTTGTGAAACCATGCACTTTAGAAAAGAAACAATATTATGCAAAGACCGACGCAAACATAGATTTACGAAAGTAAAAAAAAGTAAACATCTTAATTAAAACTCTAGAGCAAATAAGGTATATTGTGCGGCCCTTAGTATCTAACTGATTCGTGAAACGATTTGAGTTGACCGGGCTTGGCTCAAGCGGTTGATTTTATGGATGTTGTCTTTTATTAGAGTTGAACCAGCAAAGGGTTCATCATCATAATATCGTCAGTCCTAAGACTGATTGGACACGCACGTCCCCTCTTTCCTATAATGAGCTAATCTTCGCACTTCCCTAAAACTAGAACATCCCACAGCCTTAACTATTTTTGAACAATAATCTAATCTAGGACTACCTTTACACCTCCAAACTCCCGTTTCTGCCTCTAATATGTCCCTGACTAGACCTTCATGCCTGAGAACGTATCTCGCTTATATCTTATTGACTGCCATAGAGTCCTCTGTTCTCCTATTCTTTCTAACACTGCCTCATTTCTTACCTTTTCTTTTCAGCAGCGATCATCGTCCACCGCCGCACTCCAAACATACACCTTTAACAATCTTTTTCGAATTTCTAAATTAACTGTTCGCAAGCATAGAAGTGACTTCTTTTTATTGAAGGAGACTCGACCCAGCGCTATCTTCTGCTTTGTCTACTACTCCTTCCGTCCTGACTTATCTGACTTCCTAGATACTTAAAATCAGTCACTACTTTTAATTTTTCGGCTCCTGACTTTACATCGTTCTCTCCCTACTTTTTCTTCCCTTGCATACCAGTATTTTTGTTTTACTTTTATTTATTTTCATACAGTACTGTTTTGTCAATACCGCTTCCGTTTTATTTAAAGCGATCTCTAACTCCTTCTTCAAAATGAAAATTAATAACACAAATTTAAGTAGAGTAGAAAGCTACAAATATCTGGGCTTCTTTCTTGACTCTAATTGAAGGTAGTTCAAACATGTTGAATATTTGATTAGTAAACTATGATCTTTTTGATTCCTTTTCTTAATCGGCAATTGTTAGTATGTAAGTTTTGTTTAGTTCATATGTTTTGTTTTTTTTGTGTGCCGAACCTTAGAAAAGGCTTTTTCGCCTCTGTAAGATTACTTTTTTTTGTAATTAAATTACTTGTAATTTTTCTGGCTTAATAAATTACATTAAATGTTAATTGTCTTGGACACTCTCATTAGGAGTAATTACACCGGAATTAGTAAATGACCATGGGATCTTACCGTGTACGTATCTTATGCCTTCTGATTAAATTATTTTTATACCAAAGTGTTTTTGCTTATCGGTCTCTAATAGTAAGCTTCTCTATCGAAAACAACCTGTAAAGCGCAAGCGTTGTCCAAGTTATTGGCTTAGTATCCATGACAACGGTGTATCTGTTATAATGTTTGCGATTCGGTGCATCATCAGACCGCGGTCACCCAAATCTTTTTTATCGTTGGTTAGAGAATAATTCTGTGCGAAAGTGAAAGTGTTTAAGTTTACGGATAACGTGGCAATTTCCTTTCTAGTAATGTATATGACTTCTTATAAAGTGTGAATTTTTTCATTTTTGTTCGACATTTTCATCCGCGTTTCGCGTGGACGCTCATGTATAACTTATTCATCCATCTTCCCTGTTCATCGCAAAGGTACGTGATAACACACATATTCATAAAGAACGAAATTATTTTGGTTGACTTGTTTTTGAAACAAAGTTCTCTTTACTATTTAAAACGTTACTGCTGTAAAACCCCCCAAAAGACACTGATATTCGTTGTCATGATAAACTTATTTCGGCCGATGCGGTTATCTACAAAAGTGAATACAAAAGATTACTAAAGTGTAAAATGTTTGATAGTTGGATACTTAAATAATTAAAATTTATGCAAACATAGGTGGAATTGTAAGTAGCTAAACTGGTTCTATATCACTTTAGCGCCACAAAATTAGGTACATAAAATGAAAGAGGAGGGGCAGTTATTAGTAAGGGATGATGTTTGTTGTTGTGTAAAAAATTAGGGAGAATTTGGCAGTAATTATGTTTTTATTATTTGGAAGTTACGAAAAGACATGCAAATGAAATTAAAATGGCCAAAATAAAAAAACGATACATGAAAATTTCGGGGGTGGAAGGGGGGGTGGTTTAGGTTCTCAAAACAATTTACTGTTGCAAATAAATAGTTTGTAGGTAACAACTGCGGTATTGATAGCCACTGATCGGTACTAACCGTAAAAGTTTAGCAACAAATATTCTATTTTGGGGATATATGAAAGGCGCTAAGGGAATGGGGAACTTTTACCCTCCATAACCCTACTCACCCTAGCTAACCTAGCATAACACAAACTAACATAGCGTAGGTTAGACTGTTGGGCAGAGAGCAGTTAAGATTATGGTTAGTAAAAGTTGCCCCCTCCCACTGGTTAAATTAGGTTATAATTAGGTTGGGCTAGGTTAGGTTCTGTTTCAATTATGTGTAAATATTTTACAAGTTGTTACGAACTGACGTCACCGGCTAGAAAAGAACAGTGCGTTACCAAGCATGTGAGTATATCATTCAAGTCTTAGTACCTACGATGATTTTGAACCATTTATTGCAAAGAATACTTTTTTAGGTTGCTTAAGTAAAATAACTAAAAATAGAATTTCGTAACGTCGATCCCTACAAGCTTGCGTAAAATTTGTATAATTCTAAACCTAGGCACATATGTTAATCAAATTTTGCATGTAAAAGCTTTTTTAATTTATCTCTCTTATCTATTTCTGCAAGAGGTAGCGTTGGAAACATTTAAAATTACGAATCACAGGTTTTAAATACTTTATATGTTTATGCATATTGACTACTTTTAATTTTACTGCCATGCGTTTTAAAAAATGAAGTTT